CCTTTTCTGAAATTTTGATTATTTTCTTTGTTATATTTTTTTTCCATGAGTTGGAGACAAGTTATTGTGTTCCCTTGTTCATGAACTATTTCCTGGCTTTTCATAGTTAAAGCTTTTCTGTGATTTTTAGTCATTTGGCGATGTATTCACTTCTTGCTAATTCTTTAGAGTGGGTTTCTGTAGCTGTATGCTCATGTGCTTCCCTTTGTCATGAATTAGTTCTGTGCCAATTTGTCTCTTCTACTGTGTTTTACAATGTAGTTCCCACAGCAAGAATCTTGGGTTCAGATTTACAAAGAGGCATTTCTCTATTTTTTCACTGGTGGGTTCACTGTGGGGAGGGTTGGGGAGGATTCCTCCAGAGCCTCACAGTGTCAGATGTTTAGCTCCTATAAACTAGACGTCTCTAGTCTCTGTGTAGGAGGTGGCTTCTAATTCTGAAACTGCAGGACTAGGATTGATGGTACCAGGGGTGACTCAACCCTGGTTCCCAGACCCTAGACTGGATAGGAGACTTCAGGTCCAAGATCCATTTTTTCACTGTGGGCTGAAGCCTTCACAGTAAAAATAAGCATGTATAGTTAAATTTGTTCAAGTTAAAAAAAAAACATGAAGTGAAATTAATGTAACAGAGAGTCATTTTTTTCTAATTTTGACTGGTTTTTACATTTTGAAATCTTGATTATGTTTTGGTACTTTCGTTTTCTTTTTCAATACATTTCAATACATTTTGTTTTGTTTTGTTTTTAGAAAATTGAGTTTTTGGTGTATATACAGTTTTGTATTTTCTTTTCTTTTTGTTTTGTTTTTAATTTGCCAGAGAGCATGAGCACTCACCTGAGAGAGATAAAGAAACATAGAGAGAAAGGGAAGGAGAAAGGGAGGATGCACTTCCCCAGTAGGGTGTAGTCATGCCATCATCCCTTCTCCATCTCCCCATCCTGTCAAGACTTGTGGTATATAGACACACATGCTTGGTATGTTTCTCAAGTCACCGAGCTCAGGATGTGAACTGCTCAATTGGTCATGTGAAAACCAGCTCCCTTAACTGCTAGACCATGGGGTTGGCCTACATCATTTTTCTTTAAGAATTAAACAGGATAATGTAACCAATTTCCCACTTTAATGGAAGTCCTTAATATATATAGGGATTAACGAAGCCACAGTAATAGCAATCAAGAGGATCTGAAAAGAGAGAAAGTACTGGGTCTCTCAGGCAGGAGGGACAGTGTGATCAGAATGAGGATTCTACTTCGGTCCAGTTCAAAGTTGGCAAGAACTGGATTCCAAGTGGTTTGGGGGCAGATGAGTTAACTGGAAGAATTGGCAGAGGTCACATGTCATGATTTCTACCGTGGGCAATTTAGGACTGCCACCTGATCTGGGTCCTTTTGAAAGGACTGGGGGTGAAGTGAATTGATGCCAAAGGAAGGTCATTCAAGCATCAAATAACCCATTTCCAGAGGCAGGTTTGTTTATAGCTGGGAAGGCGTCCACAACAGCAGAGAAAACAAAAGAGTTTTCTTTACAAAGTGGTCCCTGGCCTTTGCCTATAGCAAAGGTTTCCACTTTCTCTGGCAGGCCTTTCTTGCTCCAAGGCCAAGTACAGCCAAACTGGCAGAGAGCATGTCATTACCGCCTGTAGAAGACTGGAGGCTGAGGTCAAACATGCCATCATAGAATGGAAGTGGGGACACACAAATAAAGCAGCACTTTTTAATGGTTTTCACAGTGGTATATTTGAACAAAGCAGTCGCTAGATCAAAATGTGACATGATGGTACAATGCGGCAATTTGAGTTCTGTCAGCTGCTTGATAGCTCATGTTCCCTTGACAGGGCAAAAACTGTATTATAGAGAAACTCGTTTTCAGCTGGTCAGTGAAGGTATGAGATTATTTATGGGATTTATTTTTCTGTAGTGCATGGTACTTTTTTCAGACCTTCTGATCCTTTGCTGAATATCCTTTAGTGAATATTTCATGGATGTTGTTGTGTATAGTTTTGGAGTTTTTCCTCCTCATAAAATTTTGTGCAGTTGAAGTTGATGCATGATTATCTTTCATATTCACAAGATGAAAAACACTGCCAAAGTTTTGTTTTTACCTGAAAGAATTGCAGTCCAAGTAAAACTAAATAAGTGAAATTCCAAAGCAACTCTTCTTTCTTTTTTAAGTTTTTTTTTTTTTTGCTATAGAGAGAGAGACAGAGACAGAGAGAGAGAAAGTGAGTAATCACCCCCCAGGGAGGGTGGCCACACTGCAATCCTTTCTCCTCCTTTCTTCTCTAGAGATTTTGGGCACATGATATTCAAGCTGCCAGCTCTAGGATTCTAACTGTGGTCGACCATGTGGGAGTCTGGCACCTTAACCACCACACCAAATGCTGGTCCTCCAGTGCAATTCTTAAAGGTTATTTCGTGAACTGTTAGGAATTCTAGTGTACTGAGTTATCCTATAAAGGTTAGATATCTAATTTGTACTAGTTTTCTGTCTTGTGTTATGTTTATAATTTGCTACCAAAGGCTATTCCTAAAGTTATCTGTCGAAAATTATCTGGCTAAAATGCTTACTGCTAACATAGAAATTAACTGTCCCCCTTTCGCTATAATTTCTAACTAATTGAAACATTTTAGTTTGTGCTCTCTTTAACATGAAATTTATGGCCATCATAATTATCATTAATTATCAATAATTATCATTAATTTTTGTAGTAATTTACAACTGCAAAAATACCTGTATATTTATATTTGAATTGAGTAATAATATTTTAATATTAAAGCATCTAAACAAACTGCTATTGTCAATTACATCTAGAATGCTCACCTATACTTTAAAAAGAATATTCAGGTAAGTAAATAAATCTGAATCGTTTATCGTTTTCAAGGACTGATTAGAAATTATGACTTACATGTCAGGTGATCAGTGACTGCAAGGATTTTATGGATGCTAGAAATGCTCCTGAAGTATCAGTTGATCTTGTCTCTAAACTTGAAAAATAAACTAATGCAAGTTCAAGTATATTCCATGGGAAGAATTTGGTCAGAAAGTAGGGGTTTGAAACTATTTAAGTCTCCTATTTTAGTTTCATGGATGTTGATTTAACACTTTGTACGTGTCAAGTTTAGTCAAATACTAGAGACACAAAATGAGTAAGAGAATGGCCCTTGTTCTCAAAGTGCTTACAGTCTGGGAAGACTGAACACTTTCCATATCTGCTCAAAGCTCTGTCTGCTGTCTTTGTCTTGTAAGTTTTATAAAGGTAAATAAAAGTCAAATGAAATAATGAGAGCAGCTGATACTTCCTGAGCCAGGTGCATAATATATTCTAATATTCTAATTGTTCTAACCATCATGTAAGGTAGGTAGTGCAGTCATAAGAACATACATGAAGTTCTGGACTAGAATCCTGAATCCTGACTGAATGGATGGCTTTAAACATGCAAATTAACCCCTCTTCTTTTCACTTTACTGCATAATTATAAGAATTATATTGCTTCCCTCGCTGACAACTAAATTAAATAATGGAGATATAGCATTTAGGGTAGAATCTAGCACATAATAAATACTCCAATAAAGTTAAAAATTATTAAAATTCTGTATAGTGTAACTCCAATATAAAAATAAAGGAGTGTAAGGAGGTTATATGAAGAGGAAGTATTCAAAAAGTTCATGGAGCAAGCCAGGTTATGAAAGAAAGGTATTGTATGTATCCACTTAATATATCAACTATCCATACTTCATGGTAGAGATTAAAATATTGGAGGGCATAAAAGCAGTGAAAATAGTTATGGATACTTAAGACATTGTGGAACAGGGGAGGGGAAAAGGGAAAAGTATAGAAAAGGAAATCAGGAGAAAAGATAGGGAAACATGACATTTGTGGGATACCGAAATAGTTTATTTTACCTGTTAATGATAACATGTATATTATTCTCAACTGGACTGGTCTGAGAAGTATTTCATGTTGGTAAATTCTCTTTACAAGCCAATGAGGTATAGAGATTGACTGACTAAAAAAATAATAATAATGATCTGAAAAAAATGGAAAGTTACTTGCAGCTGCTGATTTGTATACTAATGTCTTTGTCTTGACTGATGTGCATGGTAATTGTGCTGGAAAAAGAAATGCTATACACTGTGAAGACACATGTAATTGAATGTAATATAATGGAAAAAAAAAGGTTCATGGAAAGTATGTATAATTGGGACCAGCTAGTGGCATTGGGCTAAGATGGCTAGATCCCACATTGCTTAATATGATGTTCAAGTCCAAGATCTGACAGCTTAAAAAACACACTGAAAGAGTATGCATGGATGCCAAAAATCCCCCGAAATGGGGAGGAATGCAGGAGAAGGGAATGCAGTGTGACCATGCCCCATGGGGGTGATTTCTCTGTTTCCCTTTCTCCAGCTCTCTAACAAGGGAACATGCCCTCTGGCAAATCAAAAAAAAAAAGAAAAAGAAAAGAAAAGAAAATACATAATATGAGAAAACTATGCATAGACTTCAGATTTTTTCCACTAAAAAAATCTTGTTCTTTAATTTTATTTTTTCCATAAATTTTCTGAAGTCCCCTTATGTAATTCACACAAGCAACACAATAAATTGCTGAAATAGGACTCAGCCTCATCAGTCTATTATCAAAGCCCTCATTTCTCCCTCTTTTGGGTCTCTACAAATATTTTTATAGCCATCACTGTTTGATAAATTTAAAGGATATTTTCTGGCTGTGTCCTTAAGCCCAATTTCTTTACTTTCCATCTACATCCCAGAGCACCATATTGAATCCCTCAGAATGTATAGATAGCCTGGTGACTGATGAGACCATCTTAGTCCCTAATCTCCAGTTGCCTTCTATTAAAAGTCAGGCTCATGCAAGGTTGTAAAGTCAGATTACTTATTTGACTGAAAGTATTCTGACCTTCTTCCTCCTGCTGAGACTCATCCCAAAGCTGAGTTCTTTGTGCCTGATTTGTTTGTGTCTATGTTCTAAGTTAGTTTGCAGAATTACTCTCTCATGATGGCAGAGAAGTTCCAAGAATCTGACAACCTTCAAGAAGTCCAGGAAAAAAGCAAGAGAGATATCCTGAGGTACACCAAGAGGGCCTGGGCAACTCTGGATGAGCAGCTGCCTCCAGGGTCCAAGGAAGACAGGCAGGCTCTCACCTACACCACGTTGGGTGAGAAGGGTCCTCAGGGACATTGAAAATATTCTACTGTGGGTGGTGAGGGACATGGGGCTTTTGATCGGGGTCAGAAGATTTGTGAGTAAGGACTTGACTTTGAAAATAACTGTGACCCTGGACTGATGGTGGAAACTTTATGATATAGGCACTTCTGACTTGCCCCTCAGACACTCAGACCACAGACTTTCTGGGCAAAAAGAGACGTACTAAACACTGCTTCCTTTCTACTCCAATATTTCCTCATCCTACATTCCCAGAACTCTGAAGCTGTGTGGGGTTCATGGGAGAATTGAGACTTCTATCAGCCCATCAAATACTTTATCAAAAGGCTTTTATTTTGGGGGCTTTGCACAAGGCATCAATAATAACTTTAATAATTTAAGAGATAATAACTAAGAAAATGCTTCTTGCCTCATTTATGATGTAAATGTTGGATGATTTTCCTTCTTTGCCCATCACCCAATTTATTCCATCCCATCATGGTGCTTTGATTGAAGGACAATAGGGACCTCCCATGACCACCTAGCTTTTTTAGTTAACCTGACACCTTATGAGAGGGTTAATTCAGGTATCTCATTGTTTAGGAGAATAAAGTCATAGGGAATCTGCCCAGAGTAGAAAGTAGCCACCCAGAATGGAAACAAATATTTAGTAAGGAATGCTGCCTTAATATCCTCTCCTTTTTGCCTGTTAACAATTTGCTGAGCCAGTCATAAAGATCCACCTTGAAAGACTGGTGCCTTTTTAACACAGGGTGCCTTTGGCAATCTGGGGACTCTAGTGCAATTTGTCCCCAGAATGAATGCAAATTTGGTTTCTAACCTGGCAGAGAACTCCTTGCAAATAAACATCACTGGCTGGCTGCCTTAGGTAAATGTTGTGATTCAATAAGGAGAGACTCTGTGGTGATTTATACCCAACAAGAGAAAGACAAAAGTCTCATGCTTTTCTATCCTTTGTATTCACACCAGGTAATTTAAAAATGATTCTAACATCTCTAGTTTTTCAGTGATTTTTCTTCTCTTTCATGTTTTCCTTTTTTAAGTTACAGCCTTTTGGCAAGTTTACATTTACATTCATTCTCAGGAATGGCTGATTATAAAAAACAGGAGATTTTGCCTTGAGGAAAAAATGAATATGCTTATAGAAACATGTGACTAAATATGTAGGAAACAGAGCTATTGAGTGGTGGCTGAATAATAAGGTAGAGTCATTTTAGGTGGCTGTGCTTTGACTAACTGGTCTGGTTTTTTTCCTCATTTGTAGGAGATTCCAAACAAGAAAGTATTCAGCAGTGGCTGGACTCTGGATTCTTGTAAGTGTTTCTTTGTGCCTTATATATTTCTCTTGTAAAGACTCATGAAAACAATGTGGGAACCCTGTCTGGGCAAGGAGAAATGTGTAAAGATTTTCATTTTAAATGGAGACTTGAAGGCTTACTCTATTATTATAACAGCTAGATATCAGTTTAAAAGTACAAAAGAAAATACTATTCCAGTCCCCGACTGTTCATGGGTTTTCAAAAGTCTTGTTTTAATAAAACCTAACTCTACTTATGCTCTCATCATTTTAATGAAAAAGTAGTTAGTATAAGTTATTTACACACATTGTTTGACTCACAATTTTTACCAAATTTGGTTTCTTTACAGTATCTCTGTAAATGAAAACCTTCAGCAAGCCGTCAACCACACTGGTAAGATGAGAGAACCCAGAAGCAATTGTGTTTGGTGGAGCCGAGTAAGAGATATATTAAAATGTCTTTATGAATAAATCTTAAAATAAGAATTAGCAGAAGCTCCCAGGAATGGAACAGACCTCATAAATGATCAGGCTCAATCCCTTGATTGAGGGAGAATAAGACTGAGACTCAGGGATGATAGGTATTTAATCAGCAGCAGGTGTGGGGATGAAACCAGAGCTCTTGCTATGTCATCAGACAGCTCAGACTGTAGCTGAAAATGTTCTAGGTTCTGTGAAGACATTTGCAAGGATGTAACTATGGAAATGAAAATGTTTCATGTTTCTTCATACTATATTATACTTTTATTTCTGAATCTAGTTTTTTTTCTGTTCTTTAAACATAAAGTTATACCCTTGTCTGCCCTTTCTTATGATGTGTTTGTTCTGAAGAAGAACAAACGACTGAATTATAAAGCAAAATCTAAAAGTATTAAGTGAGGCAGAAAATGTATCACTCATTTCTCTTAGATTTTATGAGAGCAGCATACAAAGAAAAAGAAATATAATTACGGGTCCCATAGTTTCCATCTTTGTTGAATGAAATATCAGATTTCATAGGCTCTAACACCCCTTGACTATAGAATAGACTCATATTTTAAGTACCACTCAGAAAGAAAACAAAACAAAATCTGGAGATTACAAATAAAAGGCAACATTGACTACAAGACATATCCTGATCTTATAGATGTTAAAAAAGTATTTTTAAAAATTGATGGAATGTAGGAGGTAGATGACAAATTAGGAGTTTATGGGCTAAAGAGAAGAATTATTAGTGTAATTATTAGTCACTTTCTTTGCTGGGTTTAATTATTTCAGTTCCCCTGCTGCCATCTTAAATTAAGATTGACCATTCACCAAAAACCAGTTTAAATTTGGCGCAATTTTTTTCTGCTGTTTTAAATAAAATTAGGTATAACATTGAAATATTTTCCTTTACTAAGATTTTTTTAATATAAAATTCCACAAAAATCTAAAAGTTTTTGCCAGCAAATTGAATTTAAGGCCACTCTGTACATAATAGTTTATACTCAAGGAAAAACAAAATTTTGAGAAATATAGCTAGCATTTCACATGTCCTGAAGATATTGCCTCCTGCCCAAGTCATCATGAGAAGCTTGGCACTGGTTCTGGGGTTGCCGACAATGGTATTAAAATCTGTACTTCCCAGAAATTAAAGATAAATTATGGCCCTTCCTCCTCTGAACCAAGTCAATGAACTGCAAAGGCACAGACATGAATGAGGTAAAGACCTGCAGGAATAAGGGCTCTGAGATTGAATGAGAACAGTTTCAATTTGCTAGCTCTTTCATCTTCAGCAAGGTTCTTAATAATAATGGAATAGCTTCTTACAAGTGTAATTGAGCCTTCACTTTTATGAGACCCTTTCTCATCAATCATATTTTAAGCTCAGTAACCTGTGAGGTAGTGAGATTGGTTCTCATTTTTATTTTACAAGTTAAGAATCTGGAGCACGGGATGGTCATGTGCCATGACTCGTGGTGAGAAGCAGGCAGAGAAACTAGAGGCTGGGCCTTCTGTCAGCCCCTCCCTGGGCTGGCTTCAGCCATGAAGACAAGGATGGTCATTGACTTTAGGGAAAATAAAAGCCACACTGGAAAGTGTAGACACTAGAATAGTACCAGAAACTGGGACCCTGAAGCAGAGGAAGGAACATAGTCACTACTAAAGGTAAAATCGTGTCAAAACCTGAAAAATCCTGAGAGACTATAGAGTGGCACATTACAAACTTGGTGGTTTAAAACAACAGAAATTAATTCTCTCACAGTTATGGAGGCCAAAAACCCAAAATCAAGGTGTCAGCAAGATCCTCTTGAAGGTTCTAGAGAAGAATCTTTTCCCTAGAAGAGTCCTGGCTTCTGGTGGCTCCTAGGATTCCTTGGCATTCCTTGGCTTGGAGCTGCTTCACTCCAATTGGTGACTCCATCTTCACATGACCTTTCTCCTCGCATGTTTTCTCCTTTTATAAGAACAACAATCTTTGGATTTAGGACCTATCCCAGTCCAGTATGATTTTATCTTAACTAACTGCATCTCCAAAGACCATATTTCTAAATAAGGGACATTTCTGGGATTCCAGGTAAAGATGAAACTTCGGAAGACATTATTTAATCCACTATAAGTGGAATTCATCCTGAGATTGGTTTCCTCATTGGTCACAATTTAGGCTTTGTGCATTGAAATAGCAATAAGATCCAAGTGTAAGTTCATCTTAAAGGTGGTTAACAGCCTCCCATGAAAACATTCTAGTGGTTCTGATGGCTTTGGACTACTGGATCCAAATAAAAATGAGGAAATGAATATGGCTTCAATGGTCCTGTCCCTGGGTCTATTTTGAGTGTTACGATGGCAAGGCGGGACTTGGTCTTTAATGGCAACTCTTTCTAGGGTCTCTCTCTCTCTCTTTTTTTTTTTTTTTTTAAGATTTTAAAGTTTATTTGTTTGATGGGAGACTGATAGCACCCCTGACAGGGTCACATTGTGATCCACTCCCCTCTTCAGCTAGTCCCAGATCATGGGCAAGCACATGCCCAGTGTACTCAGGGAGATTTTCTGACATCTTTTCTGGGTTCTCTCTCTCTTTCTCTCTCTCTCTTTTTTTTTTTTTTTTTAAGATTTTAAAGTTTATTTGTTTGATGGGAGACTGATAGCACCCCTGACAGGGTCACATTGTGATCCACTCCCCTCTTCAGCTAGTCCCAGATCATGGGCAAGCACATGCCCAGTGTACTCAGGGAGATTTTCTGACACAAACTTGGAACCTTTCCATGTGGGTTAGCCTTCAAAGCACTGTGCATTATTGGGATCAGTGATTGGTGTAATGGCTATGTCGCTGGACTCCCACATAGTCGACCACAGTTCGAGTCATGGACCCGGTGGCTTAAACTCACACCAGGCGCGCGTGCGTGCGTGCCCAAGACCCCAAGAGGAGAATGGAGGAGAAGGGATTACAGCGTGGCCATCCCCCCGGGGGGGGTGATTTCTCGCTTTCTGTCTCTCTGTCACTCTCTGTTCCCAACTTTAAAAGACCTTTGCCGTACAAGGAAAAAAAAAAACCCAAAAAAAAAAAAAAAAAAAAAAGCACTGTACATTTTTTATATGCCACTGTCCAGACCCCAAAGCCTCATTTTTATTGAGCTGGAACCTGGTTGGCTTATTTCTTCTCCTGTTCACCACTTTTGTGCTAGGTATAGCCCCTAGTCTTTGACACTTTGTCCTATGCAACTGGGGAGGGGGGTAAAATTAATGCCTATTGAAGGCACACATGCTAGGTACTTTCTATATATTATCTCAGTTACCAGAACCATCTACTGAACTGAATATTATCATTATTAAATTTTGCAAGGAGGAGGATGAGGCTCAGGAAAGTTAACTAACTTAGGTAAGGGAGTTGAGACTTGAATTTAGATCTGTATCACTACACAGCCACACTGCATCTCTAGGAGAGTAATATAATTTACTGCACATGTTATGCATGGGAACCCCTTAGAAGAAAGCTCTGCATTAGCATGCCTGCTGAAAAAGCCAAAGCATGAGCCCTGTGGGTGGCATTTCTCTTTCCAGATCTCCTTACTCTTTTGCACCAGTCCTCTGCAGCCACAGCACAATCCTCCTGAGTTTAAGTTTTTTAAGGTGGGGCACCATTACTTTTGTTTTTTAAAGTTTTTTTTTTTTTTTGTCTCTTCTATGAGTTGGGGTAGGGGGAGAGAGAGAAAACCTTATTCCCAACAGGGTCTTTTAACTCTGCCATCTATTCCCAGCTTCAGCCATCCTTGGATCATGGGCATTCCCATCCCTTGTGTACTCAGGGAGGTCTCTGGATATGACCTGGGAACCTTTGCATGTGAGAGAATCCAATTCTCACAGAGAATTGGATTTTACTACTACACTACCGACCAACCCCCCCCCAAACTATTTTTTTTCATCGATCAAGTGTCTATGGAAATATAAGATGGTCACTTTTGGTTCTAAAACATACATCAAATTGGTAATGTGGTACAAATTTACAATTATAAGTGAGTAAACTCTGAAGACCTAATATACAACATAATGATTCTAGGTAGTAGTAACATATTGTACACTGGAAATTTGTTAAGAAAGCAGATCTTAAATATTTTCACCTCAAAAATAGTTACTATGTGAGATGATGGATTTTTTTTTTTGAGAGTTTTTTTGCTATAGGGCGCGTGCGCTCGCCAGAAAGACAGAGAGAGACAGAGAGATAGAAAGCGAGAAATCACCCCCCAGGGGAGATGGCCACACTGCAATCCCTTCTTCTCCATTCTCCTCTTGGGATCTTGGGCACACACGCACATGCGCCTGGCGTGAGTTTAAGCCACCGGGTCCAGGACTTGAACCGCGGTCGACTACGTGGGAGTCCAGAGACATAGCCATTACGCTAACTGCTGGTCCCAAGATGATGGATATGTTAATTAGTTTGATGATGGTAATTATTTTACATTATATAGCTACAGACGATCCTTGACTAATAATAGTTCAGCTTAGAATTCTTCAACTTTATCATGAGTTTATCAGTATATAATCCCATAATTAAGTCAATGAGCATCTGTGCATCAAAACACATTGTATAGCTTGAAAATATACCATTTTTATTGTCAATTATACCTTAGTAAAGCTGAAAAATACATCAAATAATTCTTCTGAAAACCCATAAGAAATTATTATATCTAGATTCCAGACATTTTATATTATAGTAACCTAAATTCTTAGAAAATTCAAATTACTGAGAAATTAATAATTCATTTGAATTTCTCTGCTTATTGCATTTTTTTCTGAGGCTCACTGAATTTCTGATCTCGATACATTTCAGACTCAAAGTAATAATGTAACTTCTATAATCAGCAATTGTTATTTATCAAGTGCTTTTGTGTATTTGAAAACTGTTGCCAAATGCTCCTTAAGCAAAGCAGCAGG